TTTTTTTTTTTTTTTTTTTTTTTTTTTTTTTTTTTTTGTTTTNTTTTTTTTTTTTTTACTACAAAAACTAACCGATCCCAAATTGTTCAGATAAGATTCCATGAAGAATTATTTTACAAAACTTGATCTAGATAGTCATGTTTTTTTTTTTATATAAAAATTAACCGATCCCAAATAGTTCTAATAAGGCTATGATGAAAAATTATTTTACAAAACTTGATCTAGATAGTCTTTTTTTTTTTTTTATTTGTTTTACAAATAGTTCTGATAAGGCTCCATGAAAAATTATTTTACAAAACTTGATCTAGATAGTCATTTGGTTAAAAGTGAACTGACTACTGATTAAAGAGAAAACTAGGATATACTGTAACCTTGAGAAGACTTTTCCAATGGTTAGGTGATGCATTTGTAGTAATGGGAAGTTCCAAAAATTGATTATATGTTCCCTAGCAATTTGTATTTGTCATTTTGTTTGAAATGATGACTTCTTCTGTAGAAACAGATCATGATTCTCTCACTTCAAGTTGTCTTCTATTCTATGATTTTACAACTCAGACTTTCTGCTTAAAATTTGTTTTTTATTTAGAGCACGTCTTGCGTGCCCTCATGGTGGGCACCATGAACTTACTCCCTCGGATGGCGCAGAGGATTTTTCTTCTTCTTCTTTTTTTAATTCTTAGGAATCCACTTTAAAATCACTACATAATTTTTTTTGAAAAGCCAAACTTAGATTATGAAAGTTCATGTGACAAATATATGTGCAGTTAATTATACAAAAAATATAATTGCAATCTGCAAAAAGATTTAAAATCCTAATAAAATATTATGAATATCTCATGATCGTATAAGCATAACTTTGTAATTATTTACTAAGAGTAAATAAATTCTAATGTTATCTATAGAATTTGTTACTTTATATTAATTAGTTTAGCTTACATTTGATAAATTTATTTGAAATTGAATTATATTCATAATATTATCATCTCTAAGTTATTAAGATATCAATTTTTATATATTGTTCTAAATATTAAGATCATGCCATCTAAAAATTGGATAATCTTTTGCCCCTTTTGTTTTTTTGTTAACATTATTGGATGATCTTTGTCCAAAAGCTGCTCCTTTTTACATGCAC